ATCTACTCCGATCCATCGATCCGTGCACCTGTTCCATTTCAGAATCAAGTTCTTTCTGATAATATATACATTTAACGAATTGATGCAAGTGGCCATGGAACCGATATCACTGCTAGGCCGAAAAAGATATAAACAATCTGAGACTTTTTATGATAGATGATGAATTAATTAGCTGTGTAGCTATGAAGTTTGGAGTTGCAGTCCCTGTTCTGTTTCTGAGCAGTAAGATCCATTTAATCCATGCCAGGATGGTGTCCTTTGATCTCAGAAATGTATGCACACACAGTTAAATCACAGCATTAATAAAACAACTTAATTATTGGCCATCATTCAGAACCACGAATGACCCAACAAATTGTAGCTTGTCTATACAGCGGATATCCTGATCTTACAGGAAAAGGAATTTTGAAGTTCATTGAACAATTTAAATCATGGTCTTTTCAAGTTATCAGCCAGATTCAGGCGATAAAAGGGGACCAAATTTTGTGAAAAGACTTTAAAAATACAATAGACTACCCAGTCTGCAAAACAGAAGAAAAAACATGGGGAATGTTATTTTAAAATAAAAACATTCTGGCTTTCAGTAAGTTTTAAGGGATATTTATAAATTCTGTTCAAACAAGAATATATGAATGCTCTTACAGATTAGTCTGCGTGGTCAATGTACTACCAGTATGCTGTTATTTACAACATTTTTAAAATTTGTAAAGATTACTTCCAATAATATTATATTAATTAATGATGTTATTCAATATAAATTTCAAGTTTAAATTGGTTAGGCGAGTCTTTCTAAACTGACACAATTAAGTGTACAAATATAAACGTAGACCCAAAATTAATTCAGACAATGGTACCACGTATTGTGAACAAACGTCTAATTATCAAAAACAAAATTATAAGGGAAAAACGGATATCCAAAGCCATTCTTCTGCAATTGGTACCAGGTCCATACAATACAATATTGAAAATCTGTTTTGTGTTGAATGTATAGTATGTGGCGCGTCCATGTCTCTGGTCGCAGAATAGGGACCGTACTTCCGTGACTGTCAATCAAACCGTACCGCTTCTAAGCATCCTTTGTTGATATTTTCAATTTTAAAAGGAAAAACAAAAGTTATGTAAAGGATATCAGATAACAAAAAGTGGTCATTACCTCGTCAAAATAGCCATACTGAAGAAGTATTGATCGTCCGCATTGACACAACATTTTGGGTTGAATAATAATAAAATTGATGTTTCTAATGGTACCTTTGTAAAACATAGCTTCAGTTTTGGTATATCTAACAAACTGTCAAAAGAACAATTGTATCAGGAATTTCTTTTTTTTCTCTCTCATAACCTTTGAACTCTTTAGATCAGATGCTGCACTGCATTAGGAAACAAAGGTGTTAAACTGCAAATGCATTGATTGTTTAATGACCTAAAGACAGGGTTAGTTTGTAATACAAACAAACAAACATAAAACACCCTATCCATTTGCATTCAGCTAAGTATAATTAGAATATGTATAATTCCTGTTAAACTAAATCAAGGTGATTCTGCTTTTTCTGCGAAGATTATTGTGTATTTCGTAAAACATAACGCGTGCTACAACCTCAAAGTGACACAATATAACATTATAAAATTAGTTTCTTATCTAAAATATTCCAGAAAAGAACGATGTTTACACAGTAATTTGTTCTAAAGCATGTATTAGAAATTTTATTCATCTGTAGAAGAAAGAAACCACATTTAAAGATAACTTTGCTCCATTTGTATCCTTCTTCCGCACCAATTCCTGGTCTACAAATCAAGATTTTACAATAAGCAACTTTTATTATATCAATAAAAATAGAGAACCAACCAACACATCAAAAATGTAATGGCCATTTTATAATTGATATATATAGAGAGAGGGGAGAAATACTTATTAATTTATTAACATTATGAACAAATATCAATCAGTGTTGTGATGAGTTGATCTGGTATCACGTGGACTTTGCTAAATGAGGGAGTCCAAGTTGCTGCAATCCTTCTTTGCATCAAGTGCTTATTTTATCACATCACTTACTTGGTTAACTTTGCAAAGAAAAAAATGAGTATTTTTTATTATAAGCATTTTTTTTTTATAAAGCATTTAAAGAAAATAAAATACGAGGGTTGTTCGAAAAGTTCGTAGACTAATGCGATAAAATTAATACTACGTAGTCTATGCTTACAAAATTTGTAATGAACATAAAACAACAAAAATTAAAGAAATGTTAAAAATTTAAGCTTGATACCTTGAATATTTACCAAATTATCATAAAATAAAAAAGACATTATATGATCACCCAGAGCTGTCGCCATATAGTTTCATGACGTCATTGTTTTTCAATGTCCGCATTCTCTACCTCATACACTTATCTTGATGAATTTCCGTGGAGTTGAGTAAAGATTTAAACCCGTCTTGTTTATATATGATTTTACAATGTCAAAAACAGCTGGTTTCAATGCATATAATATTGTAAATAGATCTGAA